GTGCTGGAGCTGGAAGCACATGTTTTTTGGAATCCATTTCCATCAGCAAGCAGAGTAGGTTTCTGAGGTGCAAGGACCACTCTGACCACTACAGGGACCCTTGTTTAACCCTTGGTGCTGATATTGTGAGTACCCAGTACCCATTTGGGGCTCTCACCATGGCAGGCTAAAAATGCAAGGGGACTGAGGGCACAGGGATTACGGTCTCTGCAGCTGTTAGGGCATGGGAGTAATTTCTATCCCTTCTCATGGGGACGTGTACCTGGTGGTCTGTCTGATATCCAACCACTGGGCTCCCTGCCCTCCTCTAATGTCTCAGTCACCCCATCAGGGGTACAGTACATCATGCCTTAGCAAAGAGAGCTTTGCAGCCACTGTATCTGTTTTATGGGTAAGTTGCTCACCTTGAGGCCCTGTGCGCATGGACCACCTGCATTAAACAAAGGAAGAGTTATCTGGGAAGTTTAAATCCGTTTACATGTGTTCAATTGTGTTTAGCTGCATAAAACCAGGCTAAATGGTCATGGGAAGCAGAAAATTCTTCTGGATCTTATTGCCAAATTTCCCCCATGTACATCTGGAAATTAGATCTAGGCGCATATGGACTCATGTATTTTCATTGTTGTGTGCATGGGGCCTAATAGGTGAGGCTATTGTGTCTTGTAAGTTATAATAATATACCTTTGTAGAGGTGCATACCCAAACTGATCTGGATGTATAATGTATTGTCACCAGTCCTCTTACAAAAGATGCATGACACCATTGAGGCGCTTTGAGAATTGATGTCAGAGAATGGCAAGCATTGACACTGCTTGCACAGGATCTTCCCAGGATCACTAGTATGGGTAAAATTGAGAAGTGACTTGTTAAGACATTTTCCACATATGCCTTAGTGCTGGATGTTCTTTTCGAAGACTGGCAAATTTCTAAGAAAATATTACTCCCCCAAAAATTTTTTTAGGCAGTAATACCCCTTGGAGGAGTGTTCCTCAGGGATTGGGTTGTGCCTTAATAGAACTCTCTCTGTTCCAGTGGCCTTTAAAGACACAGTGGATTAGCACTTTTGAAGCCTGTTGAAGGCTCCCTTTGTCCTGCTTAGACCTACCCTGCAGTCATCTGTGACTTTGAAGAGTGTAAGACTCTAGAAGTCTGGGCAAAGCAGATGGTGCAGGATCCTAGCTCCATTCTAATGGTGCTAATCTTTTGGGGTGCCTGGATTTGTTACCAGGAGCGTTGTGCTTTTGCATGGATGGTTTGGCAGACTAGATTTGCGATAAGGGTTTTGAGACTGATGGTTATTTCTTCAAGGCAGTTCTTTATGCTCAGTTCCATTCCAGACCGCTACAACTGTGGAATCTGGCAGAGTGGGACAAGCAGACTCCTTCTCTAGACTGCCCCATGCATCAGTCATCTGATCTCACTATCGTGGTGGATTTCCAGACTGAGCATCAAGCTGGACAGGTTTGTACCCCGGTCCAGGGACCCGAGAGCATTCACAATGGAGGTGCCGGTAGCTCCATGGGATCAGTTCTCCCTGCTTTATATCTTCTCTCCAAGGTGTATTAAGCATCAGGGATTGTTGATCCAAGGTATATCCGATTGCTTTATGGGATCAGGAAGGATTTATTTTCTCCTGTTGGAGCAAATTGAACCATGCTTTATAGGTTTTTCGCCTTCCTCTGGATCAACAGTGGGTAATTGTGGGCATAGTGTTCTGTTTAGACTTTTTTTTTCATATATCTATGGGTTGAACTTGATGGACATGTGTCTTTTTTCAACCTGATTAACTATGAAGATTCTTTCTCATTATCTCAGTAGAATCGCGTTGGAAGGCTTTCCTGTGATCCATATTCCTCCAAACTCTCCTTCTGGCCCAGAAGAGGGTGGCAGGTTGACATACTTGGGATGCTCACGGACACTCTATGGCCACTTTTAGACTGACTTGTTTCTCAAGAAGCCTTGTTAGCCTGGTGGGACCAGTTAAGCTGACCAAACAATTTTTGGATTATCTGCAGATTTTCTATGGTCAGATGGAAAAAGTGAAACAGATTCCTCCATCTACGCTAAACTGTGTGGATGGAGGAATCTCCCACTGGGCCAAGCTTCAGTATCTTGTTTGTCGGCCCCGCTGGCTCTCAAAATACCTGGACAATCTGATTGGATGCAGGCATGTACAGGTATTTTGAGAGCCAGTGGGGCCAACTTACAAGATACCGAGGCTCGGCCCTGCAGGCTGCTATCAGAGTTGGGTTTTCCCTTGCTTTTATCTGTTATGGGCCTGATGGCATTTGATTTTCTGTGTACCTACCCCTCAGTCCTGTACTATATGATCAAGAAAGAAGGATTTTTGACTTAGCAGTAAATTCTGTTTTTTGGAGTACAGTACTCAGCACCCTTCCCTCTATATTCTCTATTACTTGCTAAAAAACTGAGAATTTCCTGGAGTGGAAGGGGTTATACGAGGTCATTGCTCTGGCCAGTGTCCAATCACCTGATGATACCTGCATATTATCCAGTTGTCTATGAATTGCCTGTGTCCTGTATTGTACTCCAATAAATGTACTTTTACTTGTAAGTTTGGTTCACCACTGTGACTGATATTGTATACACAGTTACTGTTAATAAAAATGTATTGAAAAGAAAAAAAGTTTCAAAATAAAGGTTAAATAAAATAGCAATAAAGAAAAATAACTAAAAGAGAGAGAAGGTAAAGCAGAAGTTAATTAGGGGGTATTATGGTAAACTAACAGGCATAATTATAAAACAGTTAGACTTCCCCCAAACATTCAATACTAGTGAATCAATGTAATTTAAAACACAAACACATGCACCAGGAAGATTCACCTGCAGTGAATGTTTGGTAGATGTCAAATTGCCTGCTTAATAAATATGCCCCTAAAGGTTACTACTAAGGTGTTAAATAAGAACACACTTTATAAAAAAAAAAAACTTTTTGTTGTTGTTCTTCTTACCTCTCAGATAACTTTACCTGATCATATGCAGATCAATTGTCACTCCTTTTGATGTGCAGGTGAATGGAACAGAGTGAATAAAAAGTAACAAATAATGTTACTTTGCATCTCCTATTGTCGAGGCCGAACAGGGTTTATAAATACTGTTCAGGAGATACCTTTTTTTACTTTTCAATCATTTTATTGAATTTTAACAGGAGAAACAATACACGAGGCACTTCTGATAATGCTATCACAATGCAGTGCTATCACAATGCAGTCAAAGCAGAACACAGCAGGTATGTATAACAAAATTGAATGATACAACGTTCACTACAGACCCTTCTAATTAAATTAGCAAAAATCGCAGTGGACTACAGAAACCATACTGTGGAAAGGAACAAGGCTAATAGGGCAAATAGAAGAAAAATGCAGAACAAATTAACAGGAACGTGGGAAAAAGATAGAAGCAGAAGAGAGAGAGGGAAAAAAAAAAAGGTGGGTGGTGGAGAGAGGGCGTTGGAAACAGGGAATAAAAAGCAGGAGGAGGTAATGGAAGAAGAAAGATGAGGGAACCTGGGATGGATATGACTCGGAAGTCACAAGCGGTTTCTAGTCACAAGGGGAAAATCCCTGCTCACAAGCAGTGAGCAAGGATGAGTCAAACTCAGAGGACATGTAGTTATCACTCCAGGGCTTCCAAACCTTATGAAATTTTACCACAGAATATTGTAAAAGCGTTATGTTCACGGTGTACCAGGAAACTTTCTGTTTTACATGTTGCGCCATGCCTTGGCTAAATTCTGCATCGCAGCAATAAATATTAAAGAAGCTTAAATTGAAACTTAGTACAGCCCTCAGGTTTCAGGAGAGCTTCTCAGGGTTCCTTTTCTAAGGCTCCTCCCCATAATCATATATACTAATTGATAAACCCCCACCCAGAACGAAGATACCTTTTTTTTCTTCAAAAGCAGTGGCTGTAATGGAGGTTGTATAGCACAACTCCTGTCACTGCAGCAGCTGACAATCATAGGCAAATTAATCAGGAGGACAGGGTATGCACTACGTACTTCAATAAGACCACACACACAATGCCCGCAAGTACTTATTATAATAATACAGGAATAATATAGCACCAACAGTTTGTGCAGCACATGTATTCTCTTTAACATAGGTTTTTCATCAGGTAGTGGGTGTCATCTCAACTTAGTGGGAAGAAAAACAAAATGCCTGGATATGAAAGAGCAACTGAAGCCAAAATTGATTAGAACAGGAATAGATGGGAAATCTTCCAATGGGGACACTTGTTCTGGTGACCATGCTGAATACCAGAGATATCCCTATCTTTGGAGTGAAATTGCATGCATTGTTCAGATGGCATCCCCTTTAGGCAGCACATACAAATAGCCACACCCATAATGCCTACTGTTTTTTCTAGGAATGGTGGAAACCCTAGGTCCAGGCTCCTATAAATTTGAACAGTTCTTATGGCAAGTGGAGTGCCTGTGTAAACAATGGTATATCTGTATGTGAGTACCAAGGTTTAAGGATTTACTTCCATAGCAGCATGTATATCATCAATATCAAGAGAATAATTCTGTATCTGTACTTAGGCACTTTAATTCTTAACCACTTGCCGTCCGCCATTTTTTTTCTGCTTGCGCGCGCCCCTGGCGGGCATGCACGGGCAGAAAAGACCCGACCAATGCAAACACCTGTTACCGGGTGTTTCACATATAGCCGATCAGCGGCTCCATAGCCCACCGATCGTCTATATATGCTCGTTTCCAGTACCCCCCGGTGTAAAAAATAAAAACCCCAGTGGTGAATAAATACCACCAAAAGAAAGCTCTATCTGTCCTCAAAAAAGGGTATAAAATTCATTTCAGTACAGCGTTGCATGACGGAATAAATGTCAGTCAAAGTACCGCAGCGCTGAATACTGAAAAATGGCCTGGATGGGAAGGGGGTTTAACACCGCGGATGTCAACTGGTTAATGTATACATATACTACAATCAGAACCACGCAAAAGAAAACGCAATACTAACGTGTTATGAGATCAGTCTTCATATCTTTTAACTGTTGTTGCATTTGTTTTTTAAACCTGTGTAAAAAAAAAAGCAAAAGGTACTACTCAAATCATTTAATGTCACATTTATGGTGGATTATTCACTTGTGCTAGCATTAAAAATAAATATACTGTATAAGAGGGATGCACCGATACCGGTTTTTCGGTATAGAGTACTGATATTTTTTTTCCGGTACTCACCAAAATGGAATATAGATACCAGCTTCCTGGTGTACCGTGGGCCCAGCTTCCTGATTGCCTGGGAAGCCGGTGTTCTATTGAAAGAGCACAGGCGTCTTGTTCCGAGGCAGCCTGGCTTCATGACCAATCAGGAAGCCGGGCGGCATGTCATGACCCACCTCCCGGCTTGCTGATTGGTCAGGAAGCCAGGCTGTTTAGCAACAAGTGACAGCTAACTCCGCTCAATTGTTTTTTTTTCTTTTAAAAAAACCTTTTTTTTTTAAATTTTCAATTTACTTACATTTTACAATTATTTTTTCAAATTATAATTATTTTTTTTAAACTATTCTCATTAATTAGCTATTTTGCTCAGTACCACGGAGGTACTGAGCAGAATAGCAGAGCAGACTGCTGCTCAGCAGCGTTCGGCTATTCACTCCTATGAGAATGCAATTGTTTCTTGTAATTTGGAGGAGGTGCAAATCATTTTGTCCAGTCCATTTTTAGAGTTTTGCATGGAATGTGTCAGATTTGGCTTTTTTTTTCCTCCACTTTTTTGTGTCATACAAATACAAACAAAAGAAATAAACAGCTGCAATGTTCCTTAGGGATAGCCATGTACTAACTAGTTACCTACGGTTGCTTTTAAATAAAAGTTACCAAATGAGTTGCATGAAGGCTTTTGGTCCCTTGGTGACTTCTGGGGAACCTTCAAAGCTTCCTTGAGTATTAGGGAGGCAGCTCTTCAAACATTCGACACTTGCATTGTGAAGCTGTACAAGTATTTCAGGCATACGATCCCTGTAAACATATACATTTAAGACATGCACTCTCTGGATGCATTATTTAGATCATCATTAGCTATAATATACATACATATATATATATGCCACAACACTGGAAATTTACAACAAAATCTTTTATTCTTCATCTCATTTCTTGCTGTGTCTAAGGGCCTGTTAAAGGAGAACTTTGGGGTTAAGTCTTTTCCCCATAGTTCTCCTTAGGGTAACGGGAGGACACAAACTAGCGTCCTCCCGTCACCCTAGGCTCAGTATACCGCGAGCTGTAGCTCGCGGTATGCGGAGACGCCGCAGTATACCACGAGCTGCTGCTCGCGTTATACTGAGACGCCGCAGTATACCGCGAGCTGCTGCTCGCGGTATACTGAGACGCCGCAGCTGAAGCGGATCCTGACAATTATGTCTGGATCCGCCCAGCTGCGTGACTGACAGCTGGCTCTGCCTATCTAGAGGCAGAGCCAGCTGTACCCGCCCCCGTCCGATTCACCAGTCAGCGCTGGCGGATCGGAGCGGGGAGGGCGAAATCCAGCCCCTCCCCTGTCACGGCAGAGAGCCGTGACAGGATCGAGAGGTGAGCGAACGCCGGTATGTGTTCGCTCATCTCCCGATCTACTGAGCCGACCTGTGACAGTCTCATTGTCACAGGTCGACTAGAACTATGAGGTGAATGAAAAGCACCTGTTTTGAGGTGGTGTTTTTTACGCGTTTTGCGTTTCCGGACCGTTTCCCTGACCGGACAAAATGTGACATGCAGTATTTTTTCTGTCGTAACCTGAACGGACTGCGCACGTGAGAACTGTAGCCCATAAAACACATAGGGATACATTGGGATGCATTTTTAGTGCAGGAGCGTACGGATCAGGTCAGCACAGAAAACGGACGTCGTGTGAACAGGCCCTAGGGGGCAGAAAGTAAAGGTAATGGAACATAGAGGACACGCAACAGGGGTTTTAACTACTTTGTCTAAAACATAAAAAATTGCTTTAGATATACTTTAAAGAAATCCACAAGAAATTGTACAGGCTGTGATTTCTGACGACTGCTACTGAACATGATATCTGCCTGGCTGTCATGCTGAATTGATGGTTTTGGTATTTTCTGAGTCCTGCAATGTACTGCAATACACATGCTGCTTTGTGGCACTCTGCAATGCATGTACATACTTACTGTTTTGGGGTAACATTCAGAATGAATGGTGCTGTAATGTATGTAACATACTTTGTAGTGTGTTGCTGCAACGCAAATATTTGAATGCGCATGAGGAGTAATATCCAACAATAGATTGCTTTTGTTAGTCTTATCTATTTAATTTTGATGCAAAGAATGTAGCTTTTGAATAAGCTCAAATGTTTACTTTAAAGGGTTACTAAAACCCTGCAGTTTGTTTTGCATATATCTACTGCTAGCAAGCAGTAGATATAAGCAAAAAGTGTATAAACCCCAAAAACCGCTTTGAAAAGGGTTAAAGGAGAACTATGAGGTGAGTGCTTTTCACTCACCTCATAGTTCTAGCCGACCTGTGACAGTTTCATTGTCACAGGTCCGCTAGAACTATGAGGTGAGTGAAAAGCACTCCCCTCATAGTTCTAGCCGACCTGTGACAGTTTCATTGTCACAGGTCCGCTAGAACTATGAGGTGAGTGAAAAGCACTCCCCTCATAGTTCTAGCCGACCTGTGACAGTTTCATTGTCACAGGTCCGCTAGAACTATGAGGTGAGTGAAAAGCACTCACCTCATAGTTCTCCTTTAATACTTACCTGTGTCTTCCCCGCGCGCTCTGGTCCAAAAATGTGAAAATTCTCGGGTGGCCGCAAAGCATCTTGGGGCGGGCGCAGTTCACATTTTCGGCCGGGACGCGAGGAGAGACACAAGGTAAGTCTATAAACGCGTGCACACACCGTGGGACAGGAAGTGCCAGCAAGCTCAGAGGAGTCAGCGCTGGATCGGAGAGCTGCCGCAGCGCTGGAGGGACAGATGAAAAGGACAGGAAAGAAGAAGATCGGATTAAAAAAACATATTTACTTATAAAAAAAGTTTTTCCATTTGGTGCCTGCTTCTGTGGATTCTTCCCCTGCTTTCTCTCCTAATTGCGCAGGCCCCATAAGCTCTTCATGCCTGCTCTGTGGTCTGGCAAGGCAGGGACAGCTGCGGGCTCCGATCTTTAAAGCTGGAAGTGTACCGGCTGGCCAGATCTCATGATAATTAAATATTATCATGCGGGCCAAAGATAATTCCATTGCGGGCCTTGAGTTTGACACCTATGATCTAGAAGCATAAATGAAGCATCTAGGGTGACGTTCAAAGGCTGTTAAATCGCTTACCCATATCTTCAGAAACAAAATAAACTTCTACTGTCGTGGTAAACAACCTGCTTCCCTATTTATAATGGTCTGGCCCTCTAGCAACTTCAGCGCGAAATTATCGCTAAATATAGCTAATTTGCCTACAAACGCCAGGTGGTCATAATAAACTGGCCACTCAGTGTATATGTGTTTACAAAACCTAAATGCATATAAAATTATCTAATCGCGCATAGTGGAAGCATCTAAACGCATATGCATAGCTGTTTTGGCTTGTAAGCCTGTCTGGAAATGATACCCCTCTCTCCCCAGCAGCATGGTGCAATGACACAGCACACAGGGAGGGGAAATGGGGGGCCCAAACAGGCTGGGGGGAGTTTATCAAAACTGGAGTAGACAGAATCTGGAGCAGTTGCTCAGTTAAGATTTGAAAATTCAAATGACTTAGGGGTCCTGGAGGTGTCCTGAAGCAATTGGTGCAATAGCTTATGATTAGGAATAGACAGTAATATCCCTAAAAGTAACCACCTTTTATAGTGTATAGCATATAATGAATATAGTCCAAGGTGGCAACCAGCTTGGGAATGTTGAAATGTTAAAAGTTGGAATGATTACAATTGTTATTTCTGGTACAATTGAGAAGGTTGCTTTACTTGATCTCAAACTGTGTGGATTGTATGTCATGTAACATGGGACAGGTATGCCCCCCAGGGGTATAACCGTGAAAATAGAATAACATTTTGTTTAAAAAAAAAAAAAGATTTGAAAATTAAAGAGAGAAGCTGATTGGTTCCAGATTCTGTTTGCTCCAGTTTTGATAAACTCCCCTCGCTATATTGTATGCGATGACTGGTACACACAGAGCAAGCACAGTAAATATGGGAGGCTAAAGCCCGTGACACACAAACCTTTGCGTGCAGGGTGTCTTGTAATTTTCACTCGGGCACATCAGCTTGCATAGCTGAGCGTGCCGAGATGAAACATTTAATCTTCAGCTAATCGGCTTGCACATAAAAACCCACGCGTCAGGATGCGAAGTCCATGGAGTTGTTACGCGCGATTGGCTGCAGATGCAGTCTTTCATCTGGCTGCGCTCAGCTCACACACTGTATGGGAACGTCCATGCTTCGCTTCGAACTGTCTCGCATGCAGTGTGTCACAGGCTTTAAGCAGAATGGGCAAGACAAAGCCCTGGACATGGCTGGTTAGGGACAGAGCTGAAAATCAGAACTGCAATGGTAAATCTGGGACAGCTGGCAACTTGTGAGGTGAACAAATGAAGTAGGACAAGCTGTGAGAAAAAAAATCACTTAACATTAACAAATCCAAAATAAAGTGACAAGCGACCCCGGCTTTGAGCTCTGACCTGTTTTCCTTTCGTTTTGTAGTTTTCATCCTAGGTGTTTTAGAAGACATGTTTGGGATGATGCTGTAGCAATGAGAAAGCAATAAAATGGTAATGGCAGAAAAAGTGCAGCTAGTAAAACTACACTGAACAAGAAAGAGATTAAACTTTAGTACACACGTGACGTCAGAATCCCACAAACGTCACCTTATATATATAGGCTATGTGCTACAGTGTCATGGGACTTTCCCTTTCCTAGAAGTCACGTGATCAGCTGAAGTCTCACGCTCCAACCAGGGCTAGCGTATGACATTTATGGTCCTATAGATGGCGCCATTTTGCTGATGTTTTATACCTGCGAAAATGCTTAAGTTGGTCTTTGAGAAAATGGCCACCTTAACAGTTTTGATTTTGTAGTGATAGAGACACAGTTTTAGGCACTAGAGCCCTCGTTTACTGTGAGTAATGACAGGTTATTCACAAATAACAACCGTGTGAATGAGAGTCTGCAGGAGCTCGGGCAAGCACAGGAGATTATTGGTGCGGAAGTCTCGTTGATGAACTTAAATTAAACACGGAAGCTGTTGCCTCCAGGTGAGTGTAGAGGAATCGAAACTTTGTACGATATCAATAATATTTTCAGTCTTTGGGACAAAATATCTATCATTGTGGCTATAAGACTGGGCTAACCTTATATCGTTTCTTTATGAACTGAGGAAATCAGGGGAGGGGATCAGGCTTTCGTGTGTGCGCCTTCTGATTTTTTTTGTAGTTTCAGTAATCACTCGACTCAGATAGGTATGGTGGGTGTGTAATACAGATACAACCTAATGCATCCATTTGGTTGTGATATCTCTAAGGTCCCATTCACACTGAGCGACATGAAAATCGCGCGATTTTGAGCGGAAAAAAGGGTCATGTAGGAGCGACAAGCTACAAGAGATATTGAGCGACGAGATGTGAACAGCTCCATTGAAATGGATTGGAGAAGCTACATAGAGCGATATCGCTGCAAAAATCGCTCGATAAATCGCTCAGTGTGAATGGGGCCTTAGGTCTCGTTCACACCTAGGCGTATTGCATATGCGCGTCTGTCGTGTGTTTTTTTACCGCGATTCGCGGTAAAAAGTCGCGCGACTGTTGCGTGTTTTCGAAGGCTACTTGGCTGTATCCCAATGGAAACGCGCAACAAAACGGCCCAAAGTAGCACCTGTACCTTTTCATGCGTGGGCCGTTTTGTAGCGCGTTATGGACAGGCGGAAATACGCCAAGGTGGGAACGAGACCATTGAATACAATGGGATTTATATTTTTGAGCGTTTTGTAGAGCGTTCGTCGAGCGTAGAACGCGCTACAAAACGTTCAGGTGTGAACGAGGGCTAAAGGCAGAGTTGGCCTAGGGGTGAAAAGTATTGAGTTTTATGCCTTTGTCCACTACCCCGAAATAAGAAATGAACCCTGTCCATTTTGTTGCAACATAGTTGTGTTGCAAGTGAAGATATATGTTCTGACCTTTAGTGCTTGTTTAGCTTCATCTGACACTTTCACTAGTATCTGATGCCTGTGTCTCCTGCTTTGCAGGGTTGTTGTCAACTTCTTGGCCCCTGGATCGGTAGCTCGCCTCTATAGTGAACAATGGATAGATCCAAAGGTCTTCTGTGTTCTTTGCTCCAAAAAATACTCCATAGTCTCTATTTATAAAGCAGTGAATGAGATTTTACCAAACATTCTTTGGTGGTGAATCACTATCTAAAATACATGCTCCTGGAAGATTCACCTGCAGTGAAAGCTTGGTGAGTGTCCAAGTCAGTGTTTTATAAATGTGCCCCTATGTGTTTCACACTTTCTATAATTTAATAACATATAGCAATACATTGTTCTGATATCTTACTTACATAAAACACATTTAAAGGCGACATAAAAGAGTAATGCCACAGATTCTAAACAAACTACTCACTCAGATACCTCAATACCAGACCCCATATACGCCCTAAAAATGACCCCAGACACAACAAATAGTTTTGTTAGAAACATTACCTCCAAGCAATTAATAATAATGATGATAGCAATAGAGAAATGAATTCCCCAGGGGAATAACTCTCTGGCACAGTACAGTGCCTTTTAGGCTTCATTCAGATTTGCCACTTGCTTTTTTGTCCTCCTATGTGCGGAAGAAATTCTGTCAGGCTAGATGCTGTGTTTATGCTTCTAGGTGCATTAAATGACGCGTGTTTATGTGTGTTCACTTGTATTTATGTGCGTGTACTTTCATATGCGTTTAGATGCACCTGGTTCTAAATCCTCGCTTCAAACCTTGTTACGTGTGTTTTGGTGCGTTTAGAAGTTCAAAGCAATTCTTAGATGCACCTGGCTTCTATTTTTTGAAAACCCAGATAAACTCACTGCAGATAAAAGCATCTATATGCAAATGTGAATATACCCATTGGAATTCATTAGATGCATATATAGAAATGCTTTTCAAATGCATATAAACGCATCTAATCATAGTGTGAAGCCTAAGGGTCCATTCACACTTGCCTGCTCTGGTTTGTTGCATTAATGCACAATGCGTTAAATGAGAACTATGAGGTGAGTGCTTTTCACTCAGCCTCATAGTTCTAGCCGACCTGTGACAATGAGACTGTCACAGGTCGGCTCAGTAGATCGGGAAGTGAGCAAACACATACCGGCGTTCGCTCACCTCTCGATCCTATCACAGCTCTCTGCCGTGACAGGGGAGTGGCTGGATTCCACCCTCTCCGCTCCGCCAGCGCTGACTGGCGGAACGGACGGGGGAGGGGGCAGGTACAGCTGGCTCTGCCTCTAGATAGGCAGAATTAGCTGTCACTCACGCAGCTGGGCGGATCCAGACATAATTGTCGGATTCCGCTTCAGCTGCGGCGTCTCAGTAAACCCTTTAAGGCAGTCCAGTCATTTTGCATAGGGTGCCAATGCACCTGCACCCCACAGCAGCTCACCACAACACACAATAGTGCGTAACTGTACGTTGCGGAGCTATTCAAAATGATATTATTTATTCATTGTCATCATTATGCAACACATTGGTGTTAATCCAGCATTAGACAGATGTCCCCCTAATTCCTGTGCAGTTGACAACATTTTACCAGACAGGAAGTTGTTGTCTCTCCAACAGCAACACAGACAGAAACAAACATGTTCTTTAGTAGAGAAGAGGAAGGCTAGAACCATTGTCAATTTTTTTTTATTATCGTCTGTGCCCCTGTCGCAGATTTTTCCTTTCTTCCTGTTTATTGAAACTGTTAACTTTCTAAAGCTGGCCATACACTTTGCGATTATTGTTAGATTTTTTTTTCATGGCCTCATCGAACCGTCGTTCGATTTACGCTCGAATACTCCATCATGCACAGACCAATGTCGTTTCGATAATCGTTTGTTAGCAATACTAACTCACCGAATTTTGTCGATCAACAGAATGGATTTTCATAGAGCTGCAACAATTATTGGATTAAGTCGATTAAAATCGACGATGGAAAACGTGGTCAACGTTTTCCATCGTCGATTGGTCGGCTAAAATTTAAATTTCCCGCTCGCCGCTCACGCCCGCCTGTTCGCGGCTCCATACACAAGCTACGCCGCGCACACGCCGCGCACACCACATCCGCCGCGCAAGCCGGACACACGCTAAGCTGGACACACGCCCGCAGAGCACGCCACCGCTACTGCAGCGACTTACAAGGGTTTAAAAACAGGTGAAGGGGACCTGTTTTAATGTTTCCTGTTTAAAAAAAAAAGCGTCACACTGCAGAACACCAGCAGCTATAGAGGAACAACAAATCCCAGCAATAATACATTAAACAGCCTGTATAATGTATTTACACCAGCAGCTATAGAGGAACAACAATTCCCAGCAATAATACATTAAGCAGCCTGTATATGTATTATTGCTGGGATTTGTTGTTCCTCTATAGCTGCTGGTATTCTCCATTGCGCTGTATAATGTATTATTGCTGGGATTTGTAGTTCCTCCTATAGCTGGTCAGTGGTATTCTGCATTGCGCCGTATAATCATTATACAGCGCAATGGAGAATACCACCAGCTATAGAGGACTACAAATCCCAGCAATAATACATTTTATGCAACACAATGCAGAATACCAGCAGTTACAGAGGACTACAAATCCCAGCAATAGTACATTATAGTATAAAGGACTATTGCTGGCATTTGTTGTATTCCTCTATAGCTGCTGGTATTCTGCATTGCGCCGTATAATCATTATACAGCTCAATGCAGAATGGCACCAGCTATAGAGGACTACAAATCCCAGCAATAATAAATTATACAGCGCAATGCAGAATAACGCCAGCTACAGAGGACTACAAATCCCAGCAATAGTACACTATAGTGTACTATTGTGCGATTTGTTTGTATTCCTCTATAGCTGCTGGTATTCTGCATTGCGCCGATGTATAATGTACTATATTGCACACCACACTTTTTTACTACCACTGCTCCAAGCTTGCTCCCGTGATGGACTACAATCTCAATACAAACTAGTAGTCCATTACTGGACCATTTTTTTTATTTTTTTTAACCGATCGATTTTGAAAATAATCGTTAGCTGCAGCCCTAGACAGGACAAAATTATTGGCACCCTCAATTAATATTCTGTAGCACAGCCCTTAGAAAACGTAACTGAAATCAATCGCTTCCTGTAACCATCAATGAGTTTCTTACACCTCTCTACAGGAATTCTGGACCACTCTTCTTTCACCAACTTTTCCAGGTCTCTCAGCTTGGAAGGGTTCCCTTTCCCAACTGCTGTTTTGTGATCTCTCCACAGGTGCTCTATGGGATTTTGATCTGGACTCGCTGCTGGCCAGTCCAGTACTCTCCAGCTCTTTAAGGGTGCTTTTTGACGTGTGCTTTGGGTCATTATCCTGCTGTAAGGCCCATGACCTCTGACGGAGACCCAACATTACAATCCAGAATTCTTTTGGTAGTCTTCAGATTTCATAATGCCATGCACACAGTCTAGGCGTGGAAGCGGTGCCATTGAATTCAATGCATCGCCACGCTCCCTCCCGCCCCAAAACGCGGGGAGAGGTTTCTTAGCGATCGCAGTGCGTTCCAGCAGCTACTGCTCTGGAACACACACGCTTTTGGTGTGAACAAGCCCTAACATGTTTAGTATCAATTTGCACAACGTGATACATTTTACCAAAAGATTGGGTATTATATTCTGTTTCTGTGCACTAAATTTCATTTTGGTGTATTTTATCTTAAAAACACTGGTTTGATCAACTTTTGTGCAAATACCATGCAACATAAAAAATTGCAACTAGCTTTTTTTAATTTTACAGGGCCTCTGCTTTCAGAAAATATATAATTGTTTGGGGGTCTGAAGCTGTTTTCTAGTCAAAAATTCATATTTGATCATGTGTGCGCATATATTAAGAAATGGCACTGGGCAGCAAGTGGTTAAAAATGACAGCTGCCTCCTAACCCAACGTAGCTGGAAAAGTATCTGTAAAAGTGCCCATACACTGTACGATTATCGTATGAGAATCGCGGGAAATCCCGCAATCGTACGATAATCATACAATGTATGGAAGGCGTGCAACAGTTTCTACGGTCGCACATCTTCCGGCGAACAAGCAGGCTTGAAAACCTGGGTTAGTGTTCGACAACTGCCGAACGTGTGCGCACACTGCCCGTTTGCAGTGATCAGAAGCCCGCCCCGCTGAGGTGATCGCAAGTACCATCTACCTGCCCAAGATGGGCAGATTGTATGAGCTTTTAATTAGCTTTAATTAGCTTTTAATTAGCTCCGCCTGGATCTGACAGCCGGCGGCTCTATCTCTCCTCACCGCACATGTGCTTCCTTCACTTCTCGGATCTCCTGCTGCCTCTGCCAGGGAGAGCAGGGGGGATCCAGAGGAGAAGTTGCAGCCTCCCTCTGTGTGTGGCCGAGCGGCAGAGGATCGGTACATATCAGTGATATGTACCAATCCTCTGTGCAGGACAAACACTGGAGCGATCAGCTGATCACTCCAGTGTTTGTAAATAACTGGGGACACATAGTACTATGTGTCCCCAGTTATGAATGAACAGGATGTGATTTACATCACTTCCTGTTCATTCATGAGTTTCTCCATGGAGAGAAGCACTCTGTACAGAGGCTCCTCCCCATTCAGAAACTGGTGATAGTAAATATTTTCTGAATAGTGCTTGCAGAATTTTTGCGGATTGCACTGGACCGGAACGCAGGCACTAATGTGCCTGGGTTCCAAGTGCAGGCGATCGCACTGTGGGCGAGGGGCCTGGCTGCGGTGCCATTGACTTCAATGCACCGCCCCGCCCCTGAATGCAGGTGTTTTTTCGTTGGTAGATCTCATTGAGCTCGTCATTTAAAAAATAGATCTCCAGACGAAAAATTGTGAGCGCCCCTGGTCTACTGTTACTGTGACCAAACCTCTATCTTTGATTATACGTTCTTTAGCACTTTGTTTCAGAAGGCCTGGTCTTTGCCTATATTTATTGGAAAACTGTAGTCTTGCTCTAATGTCCTTTTTAGACAGCAAAGTTTTTTGATCTTAATGCACCTCTCATGTAGCTTGAATTTGTGCAATATTTTTCTGCTTGTAGATGCATGCACTTTGACACCAACTGTTGCAACAGGTACCTAAACACCCTGCAATAAAATTTTGGGGTTCTTGGAGAATTCTTCTAGCATCAAAAGGTCAGCTCTTGTGTTTAATTTGCTGGACCAGCCAGTCCTGGACAAAATTTCAATTGTTTAAACTTGCATGACTTTTTTTAGATTATTTTCCTTACGGTGGAATGAATAAATTCAAATCATTTGGCAACATTTTTAAATCCCTTTTCAGACTCTGAGATCCACAACTTTCTCTTTCTGAGGGCATTATAGAGCTCTATTGATCTTGGCATGATAATACCACACATGTCCGCAGCAAAAAGAACGCCAGGCTCTAGATATAGATAAATAAGAAAGGTTCCACCTGCATAGTCGCTAAGGAAGTTCTTATTGTCAGCACTTAATCTACAACACTGATTTCAATCTCATGGACTTGATGTGGTAGTAAATGTAGGAGTGTACTTACTCTTTCCATTTGACAGATCTTGATTTTGTTTATTTAGATCATGAATATAATTACACCATGTCATTTTTATGTTCCATTTATTAAACTATATTGCTTTTATCTGTAGGCACTAGTTGAATCAAGATCTAATGTTTACCTGTTCAAATATGTTGATTTATGTGTTGGTACTTACTTTTTACATGACTGTACAATAAAATGTAAATTTCTGCTGGATATTTAGGCCATGTATAATGTCACATATCTATTTTGCAGCTTCCCTAAAAGAAAAAGATGTCTGGGTATGATCTTCAGAGGACCATTCTAGATCCGGTAATGAAGGCTTAGTGCAATATTTTTTGCAGATATTGTAAATTATTATAATTGCACAGAATTTATATAGTGCCAACAGTTTAAACGGCACTGTACAATATAAAAGAAGACAGTACAGTTACAATACTAATCAACACAAGATGGTTAGGAGGGCCCTGCCCGTGAGCGCTTACAATTTTTAAAAGGGAGTGGTCAGTGAATCAAAAATGAGTGAGTAAAATTTCAGGTGTTAGGTAGAGGTGGGATAGGCTTCCCTGAAGAGATGAGTTTTCAGGGATTGCCTTATGGCAGATAGAGTAGGAGATGGCCAGGCAGGTTAGGGGAAGGAGTTCCAGAGTTTGGGAGAAGCTCTGGAGAAGTCGTGGAGATGAACATGTGGGAAGTTGACGAGGGTGCGAGATTGCAGGAGGTTTCGGGAGGAGCGTAGAAGACAGTTTGGGCGATATTTTAAAATGAGGTTGGAGATCGAGCTGGGTTGAGTTGTTGATTGCTACGTAAGTGGTAGGTAATATTTTCAAATGTATGCTTTGGGCGAGCAGAAGCCAGTAAAGGGGTTGGCAGAGAGGAATTACAGACACTGAGTGGTTAAGGTGAATGAGACTGGCATAAGAGTTCATGGTAGACTGAAGGGGGGATGGCTTGTGTAGAGGAAGGCCAATGAGCAGGGAGTTGCAATAATCGAGACGAGACATAACAAGTGAATGGATTTGTGGTTTCATTGGTTAGAAGGGGTGTATTTTGGAGATGTGACAAAGGTGAAGGTGCAAGATTTGGACAGTAATTAGATGTGGGACTGAAAGTAGAGGTCAAAGTCCAGGATTACACGGAACACCCTGGCATGGGGTGAGGGAAGGATAGTTGTGCTATCAATCTCAATGGAAAAGTTGGAGGAGGCTGCACGGGGGGGGGAAATGTGACTTGTATTTTCTTTGTCAAGAATAGATGATAATGAATTTTCTACCTTAACAAAATTTCAGTCAATAATAATTTCAGATGAAGCTAGGTTTTAGTTCATTGTTTCCCAGAATTGGATACATTAACCACAGCTGATAAATGTACTCACTGAGGGTGCCAGCCCACCAGGACTTGCTTAAAATTGACTTCAGTCTGAGAAAAGTATGGGGGCTGCCATTGCAGGCCCTCTTTTGGAAAAGCTAGTTGTCTTGATGTGTCTGGCTTCAAATTCAGCTCACTCCAGTGATGTTTTAATTGCAGTTTTTCATACCACGATGATTTATTGATAAAATTAAATGAATTTTTTAATAGGCACTTTGGGCGTGCTGATCTAAACCTTGTTGGATTTGTAATCCTTCTCATTCACAAACCTGTAACAACTGCTGTAAATCAGTGGCAGAAAAGTGTCAGAATTCCGTATCTCTATGCTTGTCCCTGGTCCTGGACTCCTAAAACATTGAAGCCACTGCATCAGCATGACAGCCAGGGAATTAACCTTCTCAAGGGAGTGGCAGTCTCATACTCTTCTCATGACATAGTGACTTTAATAGCTGATACAAGAGTGAAAATACGCATTGTGCGAATATATTTTTACACCGATGACAGCTACCAATAACTATAGTGAGCATGGTATTTGAAAGTGTTGACCACAAGTGTCCCTTTGTGTGAGCTGAGGTGGCAATAGTCTAGTTAAAGGAGAACTATGAGGTGAGTGCTTTTCACTCACCTCATAGTTCTAGCCGACTTGTGCCAATGAGACTGTCACAGGTCGGCTCAGTAGATCGGGAGGTGAGCAAACACATACCGGGTTCGCTCGCCTCTCGATCCTGTCACGGCTCTCTGCCGTGACAGGGGGAGGGGCTGGATTCCCCTCTCCCGCTCCGATCTGCCAGCGCTGACTGGCGGAACGGACGGGGGAGGGGGCGGGTACAGCTGGCTCTGCCTCTAGATAGGCAGAGCCAGCTGTCACTCACGCAGCTGGGCGGATCCCGTCGTCTAAGTCGTGATCCGCTCCGGCTGCGGCGTCTCAGTATACCGCGAGCTGTAGCTC